GTAAGAGACTCAATTTCCGTTGACCAACAACCTACTGTGGGAGAGAACAAACCAACTTTCAAATGAAGAGGAAATTAGGAAAATTCGTTGGAAGTGGATAGGACACACAATAAGGAAATCATCAACTGCATCACAAGGTGATCACTAACTGGGAATCCTGAGTGGAAATGAAAAAGAGAAAAACCAAGGAACACATTGCATCGGGAATCGAGAGCAGATATCTAAAGAATGAATAGCAATTGGAAATAATTAGAAAAGTGAGCTGAAGACAGGATTTATTGGATAATTCTGATGGGTGGCATATGCTTCTCCTCGAGGGTTAACCTTCGTATTTCAGGAAGTGAAGTGAAGTCTAGCTGATATTATGTGATAATAAAAATGAATTTTCAAAGTGGATTGATTTTCACAAATTACTTTAACATTGTAAATTTATACTACAAAATATCAATCACAACAATGAAAGATCTATTCCATTAAGTTAGTTTATCCCAATAATTTTAAAAAGATTTTTATGGAACCTAATTTTCAAAATTATGTAAATTGTGCATAAAAAACTAATTTGTTGGTTAATAAATTGGCACATTTTACATCCACTTAGTATTGTTTAATTGAATTTCCCCATTGATGTTTAGGACTACGATTGATCAGTCTCTTATTGGCATATGTGTACACTGTGCGGATTCCCTAGATATTGCCTTAATTCACAAGTATTATAAGCAAATATAGATAGTGGCTAACAATGGAATCCAGGACGCGTGTTTCGTCCTATTTGGGGCTCATCAGCTGGATGTACCTGCATCTCAGAGTTGATGTTCACTCCGTGACTCGAACTCAGTACCGTTCGCCACTATCTACTTAGCTACTGAGTCTTAATAGCCAATTGCTTGTGCTATGGGGTGAAGTTTAAATCCACTTGATATTGTTTGCTTATATCTTCCCCTTGTTATTTACGACTACGGTTGAACAAACTCTTGTTATTATATGTGGACACACAGGTCGATATCAGGACTCAGTAGCTAATTGAGTAGTGCGACGGGGTTTGAAGCTAACGGTACTGAGTTCAAGTCTTAGAGTGAACATCAACTCTGACATGCAGGTACATCCAGCTGACAAGTCCCCAATGGGACGAAAAACGCGCCTTGAATTCCACTGCTAGCTACTATCCATCTTTGCTTATAACACATTTTAACTTACAAAGAAGTAGTTATGTACATTTCTGTAAAAGTAATCATCGTTTTGATTATACATATTGTTCAAGGGAAAACTATAATTAGTCAATGAAAAACTCATTGATATTTTCACTTTATTTTATGAACACTTACATATTTATTTGTATTAGTAATTTGTGTTGTTTAATAAAGAAATGTTCAATTTACGCCTCATTTCCAAATAAATAGTAAAGTGTAATTTAACAATAAATATGTTTTGTAATGTTATTTATTAAAATCGTTTCTTTATTCTCTTAACATGATCAATTAGAGAAGAGAATATTAATTATTCTGTGTAAAAGTTAACCAACTACTTTGTTTTAAATATAATGACACTTTGAAAGACATGTAATTTGTTATTAAACTATGAATATAACTAAACAAAAAGTTGAAATGATCCATTTTAAAAAGATGTAGAAAACAATTATAGAAATTAACATAAAAATATTATAATTAGTAATAAGAGATCATTTTACATTCTTTTGTACATGTAAAATGCATTGATATATTGGAAATTTAACTATTGAACTATGAAACATTTGATGATCATATTAATAAAATACTTTTGATTAACGTTATATAGTGTGTTTTATCTATTTGTGAATATTTATTTTTTTAATTTTTGAACATTTATTAGATATTTTCAACTTCGTGGATTGGTTGAAGTTAGACATAAACACCGTTGGATGCCGGCCGGCTCAGTGGTCTAGTTGGTTAAGCGCCTGGCGCGAGACTGATAAGGTGCAGGATCGTGGATGCGCACTGCTGAGGAGTCCCATACTAGGACGGAACGGCCATCCAGTGCTTCCAGGTTTTCCATGGTGGTCTAACTTCAATTGACTTATGATTTCAACCAGTGATATTATATATTTGTTACATAACCAGAACACTGTTTTTTTAATCTTATTATCACATGTAAAATCATACAAGGGAAGAATATTTCATGTAGAATAATTCTTGAACTTATTTTATCAATAGTATACAGTTATTGATATATTTTAAATGACAAGGGTGTGTATGAAACATGATGTAACTTAAATATTAGTAAAAAAGTAATTAATATAAGGTCTAGGTATAAGCTATCTGATTGTGAACACAATAATAAAATTTCCACATTTCAGAAATGACTACTTATTTAATTTTACAATATACTTCTGAATACTTAGTGATTATTTTACGTTACTCGAAACATAACTGGTGATAAAATAAAAATAAAAATTGGGCATTTGTTGGATTACACAAATCATGAGTCAATTGAAGTTAGACCACCATGGAAAACCTGGAAGCACTGGATGGCCGTTCCGTCCTAGTATGGGACTCCTCAGCAGTGCTCATCCACGATCCTGCACCCTATCAGTCTCGCGCCAGGCGCTTAACTAAATAGACCACTGAGTCATTTGTATTAATTAATGAATATGTAATTTTATATATTTATTTCTAACGTATTATGTAACAGTAAATTTATGACATTTGGTTAAAATTATGCATGGAATGTAATCAAATATAAATATACCATCAATATTATACGTAGATTGTTTTATATGTATGACATGAATTACTTAATTCTCAGTAGTAAATAACAGAGTTAATAGAATGATAATGATAATGATGAGAGTATAGATTTAATGGTAACCATCAGATTGACGGAAATTTATTCTTTAAACTATTTTAAGTAAACGATGAAAAACAATATCAAAACTTATTAAAACTACTCTAAAATGATTTCACTTATGAACAAATAGTATTGAAATAGATAAATATCAATGAAATTTAAAGTAATTTGTGGAAATTTTCCCTAAGTTTTAAAAAGTATATATTGAGGCTTGTTAAAAATGTACACTGGATTCCTTCAGAAAAATTCCAGTTCTAATTTCTCAGTATGCTCGAATTATTACAATCATGTAAATGGTGACCTTAAACGTTATGTAAATTCAAAATAAACTTTCTTGAATAAAAGTGATATTAATGTAATTTTTTTATGAAGGTCTTTTCAGATCAAATATATAACAAGAAACAAAATGAAGTGATGAGTGTAGATTCATGTTTAGTTAATGTTATACGATATAAAAATTCTGTTTGAAAATATGATATAGACAGCATAATTTTAAACCTGAAAAAACAGTCTTGAATAAATAAAATTGTTTCCCAAGATAGAAGTTGTTTGTTGAAAAGCCCGTCATAATCGACCTTAAATTTTTTTGTTAATATCTGTTATAAAGCATTTCAGTGATAAATTTACCAATAAGCCATCTATAGTTTACCTGATCTGCATAAGGTATTTTGACGGACAATTTTATGAACCAGCCGTGTATTTCAAGTTGAGTATTCCAGTATCATCTTCAAAGGTGTACCCTGTAACTTTAGTTGTAATTACTTAATAGGAGATAGGAAGTTAATTTGAATTTATTACAGACTAAGTAATGTTAAGTCGACTTGCTGGAAGTAGAAATGTGTTTTTGGTTAGTAGCGTATACAACCTCTATTCTGACAATGTAATTAAACATAACACTAAGGAAAGTCAGTTAAAACAAAACGATACTTCACTGTCATCGTATATGATACTTTGATAAACCAAAATCCTGCATAATATGATAAATACTTTAATGACTTAAATTCGCTTTAACAATTTCTGGATTTTACAGAACCTATGGTATGACTCCATATAGTCTACGCCTCCGGACTAATCAGTTCTTTATAAGAATTAACAATAACATAAATATTTTATTCACAACATTTCAGATACTTCTTATTGAGTACTATCTAAAACTGGTAGGATATAGCATCGTGATAGTATATCCAGTAAATAAATGGAAGTCAACTGTTTACAACTGCAGTAAGCTTAGACATGGAGAAATAGATTTATAATTCGGATGATAATATTGCTTTTATTAATGTTTATTCCTCTGTGAAACACTTGAGCTAAAATATGTACCACTCTCTATGTATAGTGAAGTAAAATATATGGATGATCTAGTTAAAAAATAATGCGTTTTACAGATATTTTTATTTTAAAAATACTTAAAGGGGGGGGGTATAGTATGTCACACGTTTTTGAGCGTATCACTATATTTTTAATTACATATCCTAAGCAGTTGAGCTATAAAACGTGTATCAGGTATGCATATCCCGAAAATGTTAAAAAACATGATATTATTGACATATCGGGAAATTAGAAACAATCAATGAAACAAATAAAAGGATAATAGCATATGTTAAGTCACTGAACGGACGGTATTGGTCTAGTAAACAGTATTTTCATAAATGAAAATTTAGTAGGTTGATGATGATGATCTTTATGACAAGAGTGGAAAAAGAAACTCTTTTTGACTAGACTGTATCTTAGTTGAAAGTTTTTTTGGAAAGTTGATTTCATTTGCAAGGAGTATTCAGAAAAGTTCAATCTTATTTTGAGTACCAATGAGAGCCAGAAAGTACCAGTTCCCTATTTATCTTTAGTGGGCATCATCTATGAGACATATTTCCTTAAACATATCATATGAACACAAATAGATACATTTTAACGAATTATATTAACACTACATACTTATTTTAAATTTATTCGTTCGTAAATGATGATTCTTTTCTCAATTAAGCTATAATGAAGCGAATATACCATGTAAGAAATTATTTGAAGACTATACTTACTTCTTTCCTACTATTAATAATGGTTTACCTAAAATATTATTTCTGGAAAATCCTTATTAAAAATGTTCTCACCAATGTAGTTAATAATGACTATAAAATATTTCACTTCTAGAAAGAAAAAAACACCAAATTAATAAATCAATTTACCATTTGTTCTTATCCAAGAATTTGAATTTATTCCATTATTACTCATACTAACAACTGTCGATGGTGATGGTGATGATGATGATGTAGGCGATGTCAATGAATGATGAATATTAGGCATAGCATTAACTGCATTATTCATATGTCCTGTTGATAATCCCATAGGTAAGTGAATATTACTTATATGTGAATTAAATGAATGATTAGACATAACTGACGTGACATTACTATTACTACTTGTAATATTATTATTATTTACTGTATTTACAGATGTAGTAGTAATGTTATTATTAGACAAATTATAATCGGTTAATGAAGAATTTTGGAATATATTCAATGAATCATATAAATCTGATGATGTATGATGAGTTGAATTGTGTAAATTATTTAATGGTGAATGATAATTTGTCATTGATGCTGCAGCTGCCATGGCAGCCACTGTAGCTGCAGCCATATTGAAAAGATTTTCACAATCATATGATTTATAGTGTTTATTATTTAAACAGTCTAAAAATGTATTACATCCTTCTTTTTTCATTAAACAAGGTGTCGTTGTTGTTGTCATCGTTGATGACGTTACAGATGCCCCTCCTATTGTTGATGATAATAGTTGAGGTAATTGTTCATTGGTTAAACTTGATACAATTCGTTTAAATAAATTCATGCTTGAATGTAATTGATTCAACTTAGATTTAGTTTCAATATTTTCCTCTGAATAAAATTAGTAGTATAATGATTTTGATATGAAGAGGTTGATTGATTCATGGGATTATTCTCTGTGTTATTTTTATTTAATTGTGTTAAATGTATTAAATAATTTGAATGAAAATTTTCTGGTAATACTGAAAATTTTTCAAGTAAACGATATTGTTGATAGATTAATTGCAGTGTATTATCATCTGTCTTATTTACAGAATTATCTAATGTATTAGTTAAAGACTGTAATGTATTCCACCATGTTGAATAACTCTTATTTAATTTACTTTCAATAGATTCAATCTCATCACCTAAATATTTCTCTGGTTTTTCACTCTTTATTATATCGATTTTATCATGGAAATCATCCGGTTTTTGAACAATGTCATTGTCTTTACAAGAATCCTCTAGTATATCACGTATTCCATAAGCTGTTTTACGTTTTTTTGGTGTATTATTAAACTGTTTGGATATGGAAACCATATTATTATTATTATCACTATCGTTTACTGTTGATACACAGGTAGTATTATGTGTAGAATCTGTACAATTAATAGTTACATTTAAGCATGACGAATTAGGTGGTGAATGACATTTTGTCAATTTATTTGTATCATCGATTCCTTTTTCAGGGGATAACTTATTATTATTGTTTAATAGGGTTGTTACAACATTTTGCCATATTGAATAACAGGAATGATCTGATTGTTTAATTTTATCATTTATTGTATCCATAAGAAAAGTTTTCCGATTGTTTGTAATTAGAATTTTATCATTTATTTGTTTGGTTGTTTCATCAAATGAATAAGATACATCATTGTTGACAAGAGTGTTATTTCTATCTAATTCATTATTATTTGAAGAATTTATTGTAGTTTTGTCTGGAATGAAGGTAATGTTATTATTAGTAGTATAATTATTATCAGTGGGAGTGGAATAGAAAGATTCATATTCTATAGAATTCTTCCATGAATTGTTCAATTCATCATTGAGTATAAAATCATTATTACTTGTAGAAATATTTAATTCTTCATTCATATTCATTTTATTTCTCAAAGATTCATTTTCACACTTGATACAGTTAAGATTTAAAATGATATTTGAATTAGATTGAAAATAATATAAGAGTTCAGTATTATTTAGAAAAATTTCTATTATATTTTATTTCAATCAGTTGTAAAAGGGGATTGAGTTGGCGCCATTGAATATGATTGTTCCATTTTTGTTGTTGTTGTTAGTTTAATGATGTGAGTTGATTCATTTTCAATAGGGTTGATAAATAAATGTAAATTGATGTATGTAAAAGCAATGATGTTTTAATATTGTTTTGTAAATATATGTGTGTGTGTGTGTGTTTATCAATGTATCATAAAATGGATAAATATTTTTCTTATTATGAAAGGGGTGCTATTTTTCTTTATCCTACTGATTTCTTTTAACTAATATAAAGTTCACAGAAATGATAAATATATTTCCTTTCTTTTCTTATCTCGGGTGTAGGAAAATAAATGTCTACTATCTAATCATTGTTAATTTAAATTAAAGCAACTATAGGCTCTTACAGATAATAATACATGCAAACACAGTAACAAACTAATAGAAATACGATAGATGTTAACAAATATATTCTATACATCTCATTATATACTGTTATTTGTTGCATATATGAACGTCACACTAATTTTTTTTATAAAAAAAGCCTAATTGACTGTCATTGTATAGAAAAACACATACCATTATTTGACCAATTAAATAGTCAGTTAGTAGTCTATATTGTATAAATAATATAATTTGCTTATAAATGATTGGATGATTATATTATATTATTATTTAATTTAGAAAAATAGGGTACAAGAAATTAATTCAAACTAGATGTAAATATTTACAAGAAATCTATGTTTTACTATATGAATAACAAATACATAATTTCAGATGGGTTTTGTGGATATTATAGTAATTTCAATGGTTAAGGTCTTGAGTCGGTTGAAGTTAGACAACCATGGAAAACCAAGAAACACTGGACGGCCGTTTCGTCCTATTGTGGGACTCCTCAGCAATACACATCCACGACCTCGCCTCGCGAGATTCGAACCCAAGACCAATCAGTCTCGAGTGCTTAGCCTCTAGACCACTGAGCCGGTCATCATCCAACGGTGTTAATGTCTAACTTCAACTAATCCACCAAAGTGAGCGACACATCCACCATTGTCTTCAGTGAGTTACTGTCTCACAACAGACCAGGTTGAACTCCCACAGTAGAACGAAATGGCCGTCCAGTGCTTCCAGGTTTTTCATGGTGGTCTAGCTTCAATCGAATCATGATCTTAACCACTGAAAACACATAATTGGCAATCATTATTTCTTCTTATTATTATCACTATTATTATCTCTTTATTGTATTATCAATTTTAATGAAAGATTTAAAAGCACTTTAATATGAACAAATGAGTTAAGTGAAAGTTAATTTTACATTCATAGGTTTTCATATTATGTTTCTTCTTTAATTGTCACATTGTTTCATGAATTATAATCAGAGTAGGTTGTTGTGGATATGAGTTCATTTAAGTTAGTCCATCCTGGAAAACCTGGAAGAACTGGATGGCTGTTTCGTTAATTAACCTAGTTAATTGACTAGTAGAAGTATTTAGATGACGAAAATATCAATCTGTATTTCGATTAAACTCTGATGTTTTCGTTTTGTAGACGTTGATATTTTACTGTTAAAGTACTGTTTAGGCAACATGGCAATACATTAGCTTATTTTGATATATTATCTACTAATTTTTTTTATAGATACCTCAATATGAAGTTGATAAAATGAATGTAGAAACAAAATGAATTTATTTTCTCATAAAGTATGGAAATTCAGTTGAATAATTCAGCCATCGTTTTTGTATAATTAAGATAATCTTTTTGTTGTTGTTGTTGACAAATTACCATCAACTTGCGAAACATTGAAACTTGAAAGTTACAACTTGTAAAATTTATTGAATTCAAACTAACAAAGTAATCTACTAATTCACTTGGTATTGTTTGGCTTGTATCTTCCCATTGAGGTTTTTAAGACTGCAGTTGATCAGTCTGTTATTGGCATATGTGCGTACTGTGCATATGCCTCGATATTATCTTAATTCACAAGCTTTCTGTAAGCAATGATGGATAGTGGTTAGCAGTGGAATCCAGGATGTGCGTTTCTTCCTCAATGGAAAGATACAAGCCAAACAATACCAAGTGAATTTAAATTCACCCCATTGCACAAGTACGTGGCTATCAGGACTCTGTAGCTAAGTGGATAACGCGATGGCGTTTGGAGCGAACAGTACTGAGTTCGAGTCCCAGAGTGAACATTAACTCTGAGATGCAGGTACATCCAGTTGATGAGTCCCAAATAGGACGAAAAAGTAATCTACTAATGATAATATCACAATATAGATTATTGGATACCGATAACTTAGACCAATCAGATAGCTATTACTTTGAAAATTGGAGGTATATAATTCTATTTCATCATGGACTACATCTACTCACTATTGTGAAATTTTGAATCAGATTTAATACTATATAAATTGTTAATGATTTCTCAACTGATGTCACTTTATGTTTACATATTGTTTTCAAGTTAAACACATATCATATATTTATGTTACGTTTTAAATTCCAATTATATGAGTGTTTGATATTCGTTTAATATTATATATTTATTCACTTACTTATACAATGTTCTTTTTACAGTGTTCATTATCACTGTATTTCTAATTACAGAAAATCATTAAAACTAAATGTCTATTAAAGTAAGTTAGTATATTTGAAACCAAGAAGGAATTTAAGACTGAATGAATTTTCTTTTTGTAAAAATATAAAGCAATATATAATAATAATAATAATAAGTATTATTATTATTCAAAAGAATATGTTAATCTTAATATGATTGATAACTTCAAACTGATGATAGACAGAGAAATAATTGAATCTACATAAACATATGCGAATCACATCAGCAATAATTAACTGTGGTTAATGTATATCTAAAAAATATATATATACATATAAATCTTTATAAATATGAATAGATGATAAGAACAGAAAATATGAAAATGGGAAAAAACATACAATTTTATTAGTTTATATCGTAATTTGCAAACCTGTATTAAAAAACCTAATATGTTACATATAAATGTGATTCGGGAAAAAAAAGCAAGAAAATTTACTAAATATATATTGCTTCTTACAGTTGGAAGCTATTGAGAATTTCACGAATAAACCTTCAGAAGCTGAGGTTAATTTAAGGCACTTCGATTAATCAGTAGTCAGTTAAAAATTCTAAAAAAAATTCTGGAAAAACAAGAGGATATGTGCTATAGGTCGATTGAATAATTGCCTAATTTAGTGTATTCTAGAAACTTTCAGGATGTCAAGGTTTCCCGTAAACCCACAAGTATCCTCACTTTCTGTACATGAACCAACCCCGGAAACGAAGCCACTTTTCATACTTCTCATTTGCTGTCTATCGTTCTAGGCTCAAGTATAGCGGAATTTCGAGGAACTGAGAAATGGTCAGAAAATCAGATATAGAATTTGTCACTTGTGATTACTTTTAACACTGTTATTCAAGTTAGACGTCTCTCGAAAATGATGTCAGCAATTTTATCGTAGAATCCCACAAAGTTAAACCGGTTTATGGAAATAATTATTGTGTATAATGTTAGCTTTCAAAAATGTCTTTCATAAATTGATATTCATAAGAATACAGTTGAAAATCAGAAAGCATTGGATTGTTATTTCATTCTCTTAAAATCAATACTTGTGTAATTCTGATAAAATTGGTGTTACGTAATATGACATAACATATTTTTTTCAAATTACGAGATGATCTTAACCAATTTTTTTAAAAGATTCTTTTTAAATTACGAACTGAAATAGTTTGGAAAAACTACTGAAGTCAGAAAATGTTTTCTTCTTTGTTCTGAGCCTATCAGAAACATGTAGTTGCAACTACATAAAACACTGAACTCATTATATACAGATCTCATTACCAATGTAATATAATTGAATCATTTATTCTAAATCCGACAGAACATTTAGTAATTCTGTTTGTCATTCCTAGATAATATCCTATGTAAGTTATTATATCGCGAGACTACAAATAAAGAGAATTCAGTGAGTGTTCTTTTTGACAAAATCATTTACTTAAGCTGTACATTCTTCTTCCTTCATGCTTGTTAGACAGAGATGGAAGTCCAAGATTGTCTAGAAATTTAATTGATAGAGACCTATGAAGATCAGTTACATATAGAATTTATTTCATTTTATACAAATTGCATTCAGTGATTATTAATCTGAAAAAATCTTCAAAATGAACAATCATTACACAGAATTGATACATTTGACTATTATACTGGACGGATGGTCAAGGGAATGAAAATCGTGGCTGGTTAATTAGTACAAATTAGTGTTAAGCTGATGAGAAATTACACCTAACTAATTCACATGTTAAATGACCCGAAATTCTACTGAATTAATAAGAAAGTGAATAAGGTAAGAGTATAGTGCGAGGATGATGTTGAGAGGTTCTAAAAAATACGCGGTAAATTTAGCTCGTTTCTACCAATCAGAAAACAGCTTTTGTTTATGAGTGATTTGTTGCAAAGAACATTAATATTACAAAGGCTAGAAAAATTTAAAATGGTTAGTGAATTTGTTGAAGTTCTATATTAACGTTTCTGTCTGTAAATTCAAAAGGATTTATGATGTCGTCCACGTCGATATAATTCATGTGACCTATGGAATCCTAGTACAGATGTAAGTAGTTCTTCACCGAACTCACAGTACGCCTGTATTTTTGGTATACATGCCTGTTAACAGGTCCACTAAATGAGTTTTGTATGCAACAACCTAGTGATTGTATCTAAGTCTAGGGAGAAATTAATATACACTAAATTTATCCATTTATACAGTCGCCCCACGTATAACAACTTTCTTAACTATAGGTACATGTGTTTCGTTTTTTCCGGTTGCTCTTATTTTTCAGAGTGACTTTCAGTGGT